GTGAAGTGAATCGTTTTCATTTGGACAGTTCCATTCTGAATGATTTTATGAAATCGGCTCGTTGTGAACAAAAATGAATCTGCTTGAATTGAATGAATCTGCTTGAATTGAATTGAATGAATCTGCTCGTGAAATATCTAACGATAAATCGAAATCTGCTAATTTTATTCAAATCTGCTTAAGGAATCTTACACATTGAACTTACAAATAATGTTCCTCGAGAAAGCTGAATTTGTGCTGAATTCTCAAAGCGTTCTACTGTACTTCTAGTGAATTCTCATTCTGAGCAAATCATCTGCTGTGCTCATGAATCTTCAAATCAAATCCGTTTTAGTGATTTGACAGTGGCGATAAGTGTTAGTGTGTTGAGACGTGTTGATACGGAATTTTGGTATTGAGAAATTAGATATATAACGTGGATGAATATTATTGGAGGTGTGAAAATGCGCTCTTCACCACACTATATTACTCATAGTTTGGTTTACTTAATCAGCAATTCAACTCATTACGAGTTTATGCCTCTCTGTTATCACCAATATCACAGATATCACATTCTTACTTCGTTGGCATTCTTCTTTCTGTGCAGCTAACAATAATAGCGTTTGGAATCATCTGTCTTCATAAAATTCGAACCTGGATTATTGATCTGGCAAGCACAGAGGTTTTGGGCTACTCTCCCATATTGCCCAATGATTTCTAGGGAGAGGGACTCAAAAAGAGCCCGATAGTTTGGTTTATGAATGATTATTGGAAACATCAAAGAATCTCGCATTTGCGTGTCATTTTACATCTCATTGAAAGTTGTTTGATGCGATGCGATGCGATTCATTTTTTTTTCTGTTTTTGATTGTTTGATGGAATTTGAGGTTACGATGGAAACCACCGTTTCTAGTGGCACTTTCGGCAGGATTTTCGTTTCAAGAGAAAGGTATCTCTGACGATGAGATTATCGCCGAAAAATCCATACCACTGCATATGGATGAGACTGGCGATTGGGAGGTTCGCTTCGATTTTGCTTTCATTGCTCTGCTGCTGCTTACAGTTTAAGAATATTTTCTGTTGTTGAGCGAATGACTCTGTTTCGAATGAGGAAGTGTATGATCAATACGTTATACAATGTTCATAATAATGATTGTTATTATTATTATTATTATTATTATTATTCACATACGTGTTTTGACATCATTGATGGAGAAAATTATTTGAAGTTGGTAGCCGAGCAGGACGAGTATCGTGTGTTACGACGTCCGTTTGGTGATGAGAATACGGGTCTGTACGAGTATCGGTGCACTGGAACGTATAAGTAAGCAGGTTTGATGTGTACAGGGGTGTAGCAGTTATCATATTAGTACATGAATATGATTATAAGCATAATAGATTTGTAGTAAATTGTTTGACGCTCCCAAAAATTTGATAAGATTCATTCGCTGAGAGCCGTCCTCGTATGTGAGATGAGGCGCATGGCGGCGATAACAGGTGAATCAAAACAGTAAGATAGTGATGATGTTAAGAAATTATTAGCTGATTGTGAGCAGTTAGAGATATTAGGGTGATTTTTAACGTTTCGGTGTTATGCCATCTTCGGGAATATATTGTTGAATGATAAGATTTTCATTAACTTAATTTAACCCAATCACAAGATTTTCAAGTTCTTCAGGGTCGTCTTCATTTCTTTTTTTTTTTTAAATTTTAATTTGGTCATTGGGGATTTGAATGAGTTAATGTGGGGAATGATTTCCTTTTGAATTGGAGACGAAAAGGGTTAGTCGGTCGTTAATGAAAGAAGAAAATTTGTAGTGATATTACACCGCGCGATTTTGTGGATACGCAAATTGATTTGGAGTATCGTCAGAAATGGGATTCAAATGTGCTGAAGTTGGAATTNTTGTACGACGATAAAGAGAGTGATTCACAGGTGATCAGATGGATACATAAGTTCCCGTATCCGATGTATCCCAGAGAGTATATCTATGTGAGGAGGAGGTGAGCTTATTGTCTGTTCATCATTCATATTGATTTGTTTGATAATGTTGGTGGTGATGGTGTTGCGGATTCATTTGCTTTTAACGATGTTTTGCTGATTAACCAAACGGTGTTTATTTTGGTTCGAAAAACAGCGAGCGGTTGGTTCATTGAAGTAATGAGCGAAAAAAATAAACGAACAATAAGAGATATATAGCAAAACTCAAGCAGATACAAGCCAAAGCCAAATCATAGTCTGCTGCTGACTCAGGCTCACAACATCAGTGGTGGCATTGGTAGATCAGTCAGTTTCGAGTGAAACTTTCCTGCCTGAAACCGGCTGGTGTACCAATACAAGTGACAAAAATATTAAGTTGAACTTCGAGAGTATGCATCAATTTTTCACCGGTATAATATGAGTATTGTATTGTATCTTTGTTTTGGATGCATTTTTATTTGGTATTGATAGATTTGTGGATATATATGTTCATTTACATTTGTTGATATTCATTTGGTATTGAGAGTAGCAATTGATTGGTATGATTAGCACATGAAAGTTTGTTATTTTCGATATGTAAGAGGGTGGATACAATTGCAGATACGTGGACGAAGAGGATCGCAGTGTGGTGATAGCAAGTAGTGCCCTCGATGAGAGTTTGCTGCCATCGAGCAACAATTTCGTTCGAGTGCAAACCTATCGCTCGGTTATGGTTGTTCGAGCACATCACAGTTTCGACGAGATGGGACTGGATTATGTGCTGACCTACTATGATAATCCTGAAAGTAACATTCCATCGTATGCGTACAATTGGGTGATCAATCGTGGTGGACCGATATTCCTACAACAGGTTGTGATTTTCATTTGTTTTGTTTTGTTTTTTCTTTGGAGAATTTGATTCGATGGTTTTCGTCTCATTTGATTTTGTGGGTATCCGGACAATTTGCCTAATCGTAAGCATAGTTTGCCTAACGGACGGTTTTTTAAATGGATATTTGCGGATAATAAGCAAAGATGCGGTCATGAATTTTGCGGATTCATTCACTCATTGCAGTTCACTGTTACTATTGAACTCTTTCTTGTGATTATGATCAAATTAAATTATTCATTAGAGGCATATTTTTGCAGTTATTTTTATGTTATTGTTTACATCATTAATGATGAGTATGTTTTCTATGAGTGTTCTGTTTTCTTTATCATTACTTTTACGTTGTTTTTTTTTTGTCGTCACTGTTGCATCTCGTGTGTTTGTGTGTATGTTGTGCACAAATCAGTAAACTTTAGCAAATTTTACCTGAAAATTTTTTCAACTTTTTTGTGTGTGTCTATCGCATGATCGATATATTTATTTTCCTCCTAACGATATGTTTAGAAATGGAACGATTGACCATGATGGCTTTTTTGTGAAGGATTCTATCGTATAGAATTCTAGAAAATTAGAAATAGTTTTGTAAAAAACAATTTTGTTTTGTATTTTCTCGATGAGGTTTTCTTTATTTCGTCAAATTATCGTAAAATTTGCTGTTTTTTTCTTCCTTTTTTTGCTTTTTTGTTCTCAAATCGAGCAGCGTAGAAGTTTTAGATGTATTAGACGTGATCATTTAGCCTTAAGCTTCTTTCATGAGCACAGAACTTATTGCGATTAATCAGGAGGTTTTAAAAAAAAGGAGTGATTAGGTTGTTGTTCAATGATTTCTTGATGTCATTTGAATTTGTTTCATTCTGAAACAAACTGAAAAGAAATTAATTTTTGAAACAAACGAATTTTTGAAAAAAAAATAATTTAAGGTTCATGCAGCTGCACTGGAATTGGGGAAAACACGTTCGGAAAGTTGTTTGGCGAACAATTTGGCCAAGAAAATGGATGAAATAGAATCGAAGATGAGCACTGCAAATGAGGCGGAATTCGTGAGTGGTGCTGTGGGTGAGGGTGAGGGTGAAACGGGGCCTGAGGCAGAGATGAGAAAAGAAATCGAAGATCGTGAGATTTTCGATGAGCTAGCCGAGAGAGCAGGCCTACAAGGAATGCCAGAGGGTCTGAAGACTTTACTGAAAGCATGGCATGATCGATTGACATCATGCGAAACACCAGAAATGTTGTTTGACTAGAGCCAAGAAGAAGAGAAGCAGAAGAAGGATTACTTGTAAAATATTGTTTGGTACCGATGAGCAGACTGAAGGAAAATATTGCTTGAGGAATCAGCTTGAAATGCGGCGATTCGATTGAAATGTTAGTAGAGAGAGATGCATTGAAATGATCGAGAATGCGCGATTGTATTATGAGAACGAGATGAAAAGCAAACGAAAAGCGAACGTAGATGGTGAGTTTTGCATTTATGTTTTGTTTTAAAGTGATAGTAAATGCGACGAGACTAATTAGAGAGTTGTTGACGAATTATTTGTTTCCTTTCAACTAATAGTGAAGCGAAACGAATTGCTATCGGAAGCTGCAGTTTAGTGATGGTGATAGTATTGTTATAATAGATATGATAATAAATCATTGTTTTGATAATTTGTTTGCTATAATATTAAGTGAGATTGGTTTGACCAGTAATAAAGCTTTAGATATGGCCAATGGAAATATGAATTAAAAAGAGAATTCAAAAAGAATTTGGTTGAAAAATGTTGATGTGTTGGGTAAATTTGCAGTTTGTATTTTTGAATTTGCAATAGAATGGGTTAATCGAGATAACTGATAGTGAGATACTATTGATCATAAGTGATATTGAGTGTGATTAGTGCAGTTATGTTTGTT